TAACTATACTTATACCCCCCAAATAAGGTACTTATAACCTTACTTACTAAGTCCCATGATCCTCCGGGAGATAGCTTGCAAACTGCAAACCCCAAACATTAACACTAAGCGCTAAAGTCAGTCATGTAGGAACTTGATTAAAAAAACCTTGGGCCTTAATTAGGGCTCCTTCTATGAATCCTTTTGTACTTGGGGTTATAAGGCCAGGGTGTCTTACTCGGGTTCCTACATAAGGGTAGTTTAGAGTCCCGGCCCAGGTCACCAACCGCGCAAAGCTAAGGCCCACAAGATGCCGAATTTGAATTTACGTGCGTAACATAGGGGCCTTCATAATTAGAAGAGGGTTTTGGGGCCCAGTATACTTATAATGAGGAACCTCGAATAGATAATTATTTAAGCCCCTATATTAGGTAGGATGCAGGACTTTGGGTTTAGGATTGTCTGCACTGAATGCATCTCAGAGCGAAAGGTTAGCATCAGAGTTCGAATGCGACTGGAAAAAAGAACGGGAACTTCTTCCTGCAAGCTTAGATCTGAGCGATCTAACATAGAGGCCGTCAGAATCAGAGTAGTGGTTTCGGGGTGCACGGCGTATAGTGTACTATAGTGATGATAGGGAACCCGCCAAATTCTTATAGGTAACTCTTTAGACCTCTATAGTATTTCTTCTTTTGGGGGTCGCTGTCCCCACCTCTAAAGTCGGCGTGGTGCGTGTGCAGGCTGGCGGCACCGGCAGGGTATGCAACAGGCAGTCCAGGATGGGCTGTGCCTTTGAGCAGACTTCCCGTGCCATCATCAATTCGTCTGCTGACAGCACTTAGGAGTCAGCTCAGCCCGTGAAGAAGCCAACTTTCCGGTCCCCTTGCAGGAAGAACCAAACCCCTAAGGCTCCATGTACCCTTAGAGTATATACTTAGGCCTTAAAGTACCTATATAGGAACCCCTTTGAGGCTTAAGTATCTACTATAAAGGTACATGGAGCCTGAGGGAACATTGGCCAGTTCGCAAGCTACGCCCTGGTGCAAAAAAAACTGTGGGTGGGTTTAGGGTTTAGGGTTTAGGGTCTAGGGTTTAGGGTTTAGGGTTTAGGGTCTAGGGTTTAGGGTTTAGGGTTTAGGGTCTAGGGTTTAGGGTTTAGGGTTTGGGGTTTCGGGTTTAGGGTCTAGGGTTTAGGGTTTAGGGCGCTCTGTTCAGAGTTTGCTTTGCCCACTTTGGGCTCCTCAAAGTCCACATCGTACACTGCCAAACATGTAATCTAAGACAAGGGCGGGAAACTACGGCGTGTATTTTGCAAAACTTGTAATATAACCTCGAATTAGTACGAATTAGTAAGGTCGCTTGACTTTGCACCCAAACAAAGGTAAGAAGCAACCAGTAGCTGTAGCTGCCTCAAGTATATTGCACTGCCCCAAATCTCCCAACCCAAGTCAAGAAGGGTTCGGACCTGTACAGTCTCTGGGGGATTTTACGCTTTCTCTAGGGTACCGCAACCCAAACACAACTCATCGGATTTGAAACTTCAGTTTCTGAGGTTATGATTTATCTAAGTTCTAAAAGGTATGTGGGTGGTTGTCGAAATTATGGTCCCTTTGTGGGTCCCTGTTCGAATACGGCACCTATTATTTAGGGTACCCAAAAAGGGACCATAATTTTGACAGCCACCCATGTGTTAGTCACAAGGCAAAAAACTTGACGCCATTGACTTTGGCAGCGACGACAGAGCTTAGAAGAGAGATTGTGATGTTGAGCCAGGGATCTTCGGGGATTGGGCTTCAGGCTCAAAAGTCTCGAGCTAGGGTCCAGCAATAAAGGGGCCTTAAAAATTAGAATAGGGTTTTGGGGTCCATTAAACTATAAACCTGGGAATTAAAAGGGTGCCTTTCTTTGGTTTATGAAGGGGGTAAGGGGACGGAATGGTTAAAAAATGCTGAGAGGCTCCCTTAAAGGGGTGCCCTGAATCCCAGCCCTCCCCCCCCCCGGGCGCGCCCAGAATCTAAGGGCCGCTGAAGGAATATTGGATACCGCCTCGTGGGAAGTTTGGAGTTTTAGGGTTTCCTCCCGGGGGAGCCTAGAAGGATTTCGTCCTAAGGGTGCTACAAGAGTAGATCAGATTTAGGGCTTCAGGGGGCTTTGGGATTTTAGGGTGTGTAGGGTTTAGAGATTTAGAGGTTAGGAGAAGGTTTCAGGAAAATGGTAGGTGGAACTGATGGGGCCCAAACTCTGCAATCCCTGAAGTGAAGCCCAGCCTGAACCGCAAAACCTAAACCCTAAGACTCTAAACCCCTAAACTCTACTTGGAGGATCATGGGACTTAGTAAGTAAAGTTATAAGTACCTTAATCGGGGTTATAAGTATAGTTACCCTCATTATAGCCCTAGTTACTAACTCCCATGATCCTTTATGTACCTCTAATCTGCATTGTAAGTCCCTTTACAGGACACCAATCATCAAATTTGCTAAACCAATAAAAGGAACTACAATGGAGACTATAGCTAGACAGCTAGACCCCCACCGTTTCTCCTAGACACCTTGCGTGCTTGCCGGGATCACAAGGACTCCCGTGCTTCAACACATGAAGCATCGTTCGTCGTTTTCTTATATGCTACTTGGAGGTTCATGGGTAGTTGTAAGTGGTTTCTGAGTTCTAAGTCCCCTAATATGAGTTATAATTCTGGTCAGCCTACTTATAACCTCACTTATAACTACCCATGAACCTCTAAGTATAGTTCAGGTGTTGGGCTCACGAGTTGCACCAGTTGTTGGCAACCATATCCAAGATTGCTAGTGGTCGCACTCCTCTGATAGTCACGCAGAAACCCAAGCCCTAACGCCCGGTAGGGTGGTAAGTAAAAGTCTACGCGCATAGGTTCAGCGGTTTAGGTTTAAGGTATGCGAAGCTGAGTGTGTACTTAGCTTCAGCGGCCATGGGGTGATCAGTGAAGCATCAAGCCTGTATCACATTATAAGTTGTAAGCCCTTGGGTTTCAATTTAGGTGTGAGTTGGGGATACAGTAAATTAGTTTGTGGGGCTTAAAGGCGTCTGATCTCCACCCCTCAAGTTCGCCTATGCCTCGACCACAAAGCTCAGCAACCCTGTTCCCGATGACTGGAGAGGAATGTTAAGTCGGATTGCTCTCACTATTTGACAGTGCATCACTGCCATTGAAACATCAACATGTCGACGAGACATCCATACCTCTGCCGGAACAGCATCTCACCCTAGTCCGGAGCTTCGACTCGCCTGCGAATGCCAAGTCCATCCCCCAAATCCCACCTGCACAAAAGCTCGATATCGTTTAAATGCAGTGTTGTCGAAAACGCCTCAAAGCCCTTAACCCGAACATCGAACCTCCAGCACAGTCAGGATAATGTGAGAGTTGTAGAAGACAGAGGCGGGGTCCAATATAAATCCTCAACAATGTGTATATATGTTTCTATATTCTATATATATATATATGTATAATAAGAATAACAACAATAATGGTTATCAGCTCTATAATATGTAAATATACACACACACATATATATATATATATGTAGTCATATATATATATATGCTCATTATATATATATATATATACATATAGACAGCGAGCCGGAACACAGCGCTCCAGGCCCACAAGTAGAAAGAAGGTTCGTAACGTTAAGAAGCCTGAACTCTGAATGAAGGACCCTGAGTTGTCCGCAATCCTCGAACGGAACTCTATAACTCCCTGCAAAACCTGGGATTCCCGATACATTACTCTTAAGGAATGAGGCTATTGGGTTTCCAACTTTTCGGCTTCTACTGTATGGAGCCCGCTTGAAACTTAAGTTTCTACGCAACCGAGCCTTCTTTTCGCTGAGTATGCGCTGCTGGACCTCCAAGCACTCTCGTTTCCACGACTTTTGGGTTTACAGCAAACCCCAAAAAGTTGGAAACCTGATTAAGGCCAAATAGTGCTGGGATTCCCTGTAGATGACTCTTAAGGATTGAGGCTGTTGGGTTTCCAACTTTTGGGCTTCCACTGTACTGTAGATGGCTTAGTGTGCAGCGTCGCTGTCTCAAAAGTGTGCATTTCCAGTCGCAGGTTTCAGTGTTCAGGATGGGGACCAGGACCTTGCAAGACTACTTTAGGATTCCTTTGAAGGGTACTATAAGGGTTCCTCTAAGGGATCTCTAGGGATTTAGGCTTTAGGGGTTTAGGGTTTATAGGGGTTTACCGTTTAGCGTTTAAGGTTTGGGGATTTAGGGTGTGAGAGGAAAGACAAGAGGTCTAGATGTCTGTGATGTGGTGTCTGCTTTAGCTCCAAGGAGAACTGGTGCTGGGGATGATGATAGCAATGACGACGACGATGCAACCCTAAACCCTAAACCCTAATGGCCATCTTGAAGCTGCATGCTGCTGATGATGCTGCTGATGATGCTGGCGATGATCATCAAGAGCATCATTATCATCATCACTTGGGTACGGCCCCCATGCAGTAACAGTCTATAATAGGGCTACTATTAGGTTCTTTATATATCTATGATGAATATTATCCAACTGTTACTGAGTGGGGGCAGTACCCGAATCATGACCATCGAAATGATAGCCACTATGCTGAGCTGTTGTCGATGCCGGATGTTAATGGTCATGCGAGTTATGGCAGCGATAACGATTGCAGAAAAGGCCTTGGTCATTGGTTATAGCCCTAAGGCTCCATGTACCTTTACAGTAGATACTTAAGCCTTAAAGGGGTTCCTATATAATAGGTACTTTAAGGCCTAAGTATATACTATAAGGGTACATGGAGCCTTAGGGTAAGATTTGGGTAGACAGCAGGAAAACTGGGAGTGTTAACCTTGAGCCACGACACCAACTGCTCGTAGTAGCAACGTATCAACGTGCGCAACAGCGACAGGACGGGAAGAAACGATGCATGTCATTTACCCCCAGCCAAATCACAGAAATACTTGAATGCATGTCGGCTAGAAGTGCCTGCGGGCACCCTCGCACTACCCGGATTTGGTTTTCTCGCTACTTTCTCTCGCTGTTCCACGTCACGCGCTTCCTTTCTTTGTTCCTCGCCCTCGCTCTCACTTGCTCTAATGCACCCGCACCAAACCTAGCACCCTAAGCCCTAAACGCACAGACGCGAAAGCCCCCTCCCAACCCCGTCCTCCTTGGGCGCTTCGCGAAGGGCTGCCGCAGCGTCATCCTCCACGTGGTGCTGTTCCAAGAAGGCCTCGGCCGGCTCGGGCTGAACAACACGAACGACAATCAGAATCATAGTACTCGATCGTAAATAATACATGTACATAGATATGTATGTATATATATATATATATATGTATATATATATGTCAATATTGGCGATGTTGCCGGATTTACATTCTCCCCCTCCGGGTTCAAGATCCCGGCCTGAAAAAGATGCGTTTGCGGTTGGACCCCCCTCACCCCCTCCTGTGTTGGGGGCTCCACAAGTTAATACTGAGTGGAGGTGTCGGCGTGACGTATGAGATGCAGCTGCAGTCCTTCGGGAGAGATCTAGGTACCCACATTTTCACCAAGAGTACCTTTGCTGGCAGAAGCAGAAGCATGGCAGTACTAGTAGCAGTAGCCATAACGGCAGTAGTAGCAAGAGTATTAGCATTAGTGGTAGTGGTAGTGGTAAGGGTAGCGGTCGTGGTCGTGGTGGTGGTGGTGGTGGTGGTGGTGGTGGTGGTGGTGGTGGTGGTGGTGGTGGTGGTGGTGGTGGTGGTGGTGGTGGTCGTGGTCTTGGTCTTGGTCGTGGTGGTGGTGGTGGTGGTGGTGGTGGTGGTGGTGGTCGTCGTCGAGTAGTAGTAGTAGTAGTAGTAGTAGTAGTAGTAGTAGTAGTAGTAGTAGTAGTAGTAGTAGTAGTAGTAGTAGTAGTTGTAGTTGTAGTTGTAGTAGTTGTAGCAGTAGCAGTAGCAGTAGCAGTAGCAGTAGCAGTAGCAGTAGCAGTAGCAGTAGCAGTAGCAGTAGCAGTAGTAGTAGTAGTAGTAGCAGTAGCAGTAGTAGTAGTAGTAGTAGTAGTAGTAGTAGTAGTAGTAGTAGTAGTAGTAGTAGCAGCTTTCGAAGTCGTTAGGAGTATTCAGTATTCGTCATCGCGGGGACCTCAGACACGACGGAAGCAATAATCAGCTTGCCAGCTACAGCATGCCCAAGGAGCCTAAACTCAACAACCTGAACCCAAAATTTGCAGCGCTAGACCCACTGGTCCTGCAACCCCCAAACCTTGAGAACGCACACCTCCGGGCCTCAACCGCCGTTTCGAGGTCCTCCTTCTCCTTTTCCCTCCAAGGCGGCTCCTGCTTCTCTCTCCAAGGCGGCTCCTGCATGCGGGTAGTTGTCTAAATTAGGGTTCCGTTATCTCAGGTCCGAAACATAGTACGGCGCCCTCATGCAAAAACGGCCCCAATCCTATTTTAGAGAACTGCCTGTTTTTGTGGTCTCGGATTCAAGAGTGCAAGATGGCTTGCGTGGCGCTTAGCTGCATTCTGCCAGATCAGGCCTATGCTTGCTGCGCTTCTGGGAGGTGACAATCCATGGTGGTAACCTGAGAATTTCCCCAAATGAAGGGACCCTAGTATAGCACGGTAAATAGGACCTAGGAGGATCCTTATTATAAGGACCACAAATATGGTACCCCCAATTTTCGGAAACTCCCATAACAGTGGTAAAAGCAATCCTAGTTAGATCACGATGGTCGTCACAACAGATAATACTGGTCACTGTTGATGATGGTTCTGATCCAATCTGTGTCATGTCCTGACGAAGGTGTCGATATTCTCATTCCGGGAACTCAGTTTATCATCCTCGCCACCGTCACACTCCAAAGTAGGATCACTTCCGTGCCATAGTATTCCGTCTGTCAGTTCATACTGCACCAATGGCAGCAATAATTCCAGCAATGAGGGCAGCCCAGCACCGGTGAAAACTTGGTCACGAGGCTTAAACAGCCGTCGGAGGTTAGGTCAAAGAGGCGGAGCTTTGGTCCGGGTCATGTTGCAGCTTCCCTGCTCGAAGCCCTAGAACAAAAGGACCCAAGTTTTCAGTCCGGGACCTATGAACTGAAGGAAACAGCTAGGTGATGGAAGTTAGAGTTTGAGGCTTAAGGGTTGTGTATCCCATGATGCGGGCAAAACAAAACTCCTGAGGATTAGAGGATCCCCACCTGGAAGCCTACACCCTTGGCCCTAAACTTCAGTAAACCCTGGACGTTAAGCCCGATAAACCCCGGCCAAGTCCCAAACCTTACTCAAAGGATCATGGACTTAGTAACTAGGGTTATAGTTAGGGTACCTATACTTGTAACCCCAAGTAAGTTTAAGGTACTTATAACCTTACTTACTAAGTCCCATGATCCTCCTAAGTAGCAGCTGCTTATAGCTTCAGAGCGTGTCCCCGAGTGATCCCCGGGCATTTTCCAGCCAAGCAAGTGGATGTCTGGGCTCTTGGGTATGGGTATGGAGTTTTGGGTTTAGGGCTTAGGGGGTTTGGGGTTGTTAGATGTCTTTAGGTTTCGGGTGCGGTTGCAAGGCGTTTTGTTTTAAAAAAGGGCTGCTCTGTAGAAGCCGCGGACCCCTGACTGTCAAAACCCCATAAACAAACTTATCCAAACAAACACCAAAAGCCCTCTAAAACCCCAGCAAAGCCCTTAAACCTCTACATTCCTGCAAAGTTCTTAAAAGATCCCACGAACAGTCTCACTTTGAAGCCTGTATTGTTCTAAGAACTGTCAGTTCCTTTGCCTGCGCTTCATCGCGGGTGCTCGCTTTGAGCCTGGGCAGAGCTGAATGTTAGGCACATGGTTTTAGGTTTGGAGTTTAGGGTTTAGGGGTGTAGGGTTTGGGTTTAGGGCAAATGGGTTTTAGGTCTGGGGCTTGTATGAATCCGGCTCTCGATCGCTCCCTCGACCGAGGTCCCGGCAAGTGCGCCGGCGGCGGGCCTTTCGGTGGAACAGGCCGTGCCTTCGAACGAACTTGGCCTGCAACTGAAAGCTGGAGGACCTCTTCTCGGGTTGACTTACGCATATAAAGGGTCCTAAGTACGTGTATAGTAGAATGCAGGGCTTCGAAGAGTACTCTTACGGTTTGGGTAAGCATTCCCCATATAGGTACCTGTATAGGACCCTTTGGGCTATTCAAGATCCTACTTTTCCTGCCAAAGGATTCTTTATGTTTTGAAATTCCAAGTCATCAACATGGATCTACCCCTAAGGCTCCATGTACCCTTATAGTATATACTTAGGCCTTAAAGTACCTATACAGGAACCCCTTTGAGGCTTAAGTATCTATTATAAAGGTACATGAATCCTTAGGGTGAACCAATGGGGAAGTCTGACAATCAGAGTCGGTGCGTGCCTTGCTGGCTTCTCGAATTCAGCTTGGTAGCTCTCTGCCCGGCGTGTGTGTAGTTTAGGGTTTAGGATTCAAGGTTCAGGATTGAGGGTTTAGAGGTTTAGGTTGGAGGCATTTCTACTACATCCTCATCTTGCAGTGTAGGCGCGTTCTGGATTTGCCCACAAAGCCAAAAGGACTTGCTGTACGTAACCCGAACCCTAATTCCTAAGTCCCAAAACCCTAAGGCCTAAAACTAATTTGATGAGCCTTTCGCAGGCGAGCTCGGCAGAAAGGGCTCGGAAGACCTGGACGCTTGCGGCACTTGGAAGCTCACTGTGCAATAGAGTCACACTGGTCTGAAATAGTTCCATTAAATATATCACAATGATGTCACTTATATTTGTGCCATATATGTATACATATATATATATATATATATATACCCCAAAACGTACGCCCGAATCCAATCCCAATTATTCAGGCCCCGTTTGTTCGGCCTTTTTGGTGTAGGGCCTGTGGCCTCGAGGGTTTGGGTAGGATTATAGAAGGTTTGTGGTGGAAAAACGGGTGCTTTTGGCCTGCTTCAGAGTTCAGGAGGATCGGGTTTGGAGCTCAAGAGGTTACTTAAAGGATCGTGGGACTTAGTAACTAGGGTTATAATTAGGGTAACTATACTTATAACCCCCATTAAGGTACTTATAACCTTACTTACTAAGTCCCATGATCCTCCAAGTAGGCTTTTTTGGAGGGGAGAGGGTGAGGGGGGGGGGAGGTGTTAAGGGTTCACCGGGCTCGCTTGTTGTTGCTGGTTTAACGGTTTAGGGTGGGGAGTACTGCGGTAAATGCAGCAATAGCTGGCCGGCTTTTTGCAGTGCTCCGAGAGGTTCAAGTGCCCAGCGCCGTTTGACGAAGCAGACCTCTGAAATGGACAGTCTGATGCAGACATTGAACCAGATCGTCCGGTGTTGAAGGAACCGCTGTATCGATCCCTTCAAGACCTCGATAAGCGAAACCCAGCAGTTCTTTTTTGCAGCGGCATTCACTTTTCAGGCTCCTCGTTTGGGATGAGGATGCCTGCGTTGAAGTCAACGACCATCTTGTTGATCTTCTGCCTGGGTTCTTGTTATACAAGGAATTTAATTTTTGTTCCCATGATAAGGATGCCACATCCTTTACGCTAGATTCGTATAATGGTAGCTCGAAATAGAATCCCTAACAAGAGCCCAGCTGCAGGTGGTCCTTCAAGTTGATGGCTGACCTTGCGCAGCTTTCAGCCAGCGGAAAATGCGCAGCAACTTAAAGTCCCAAACCCAAAATCCTCCCCACCCCCGCCCTCCCCTGTGCCCTTTCTCTCAATAGCTTGTAGGAACCTACGGGTTCCTTTAAGGGATCCTTAAGGTTCCTTCTGGGGGGTTCCTATTATAAGGATTACTATCATAAGGGATCTATAAGGGTTCTATAAGGGGTTCTATATTGGGGGGAAACCTGGCTTCCTTGTGATTAATTCTAAAGGCAGCCATGCAAGATCATCAAAGGTCGAAAGTCACTAAAGGACAGATCGATGGCCGGAGGCTCTGGAGGCTTTCGGCTCATACGGCTTCAGAGCTTCTAGTGTCCATGGACTTCTAGAAGGGTAGTTGTCAAAATAGGGGTCCCTTTTTTGGTGCCCTAAATAATAGGTGCCATATAAAATAGGGACCCAAAAAGGGACCATAATTTTGACAACCACTCATAAGATGTTCAAGGTGTCGCATTTTGTTGGGGTTTAGGCTCTTAGGTCTTTGGAATGCTCCGGACCCTAGATCGTAGCATAAGGGTCTTCTTGTTTCAACAGAGTTGTGGGGTATATTCTACTATAAAAAAGAATAGAAGCCTTGTGCAAGGAAGGCTTCTATACCCAAGACCCTTAAATCTGCCTTTTGGGGATACCTCAGCGTCTCTTGCTATGAGATCCTAACCATAAGATAGGAGTAAGAATGACAAGCGGCTTGTCGGCTGTATGGATGTTGGTGATGATTTCGTAGACACTCCTCCAAAAGCCGAAGGAACTCAGCGCTAAGGCCACAAAAGGCTGAGGGCTTAAGGTTTAGAATTGTGTGTTCGTTGGTTTCGGGATTTATGACTTTCAGGAAAGGATCCAATCCCACAGGGGCGTAGGCTAAAGTCCCTGCGTCTTTAACTCACCAAATCCTGGAACCCTAAACCCTGAACGCTCCAATCAAGCTGACCGCCAAACCCTCAAGCATGAGCCCTAGTCCGCCATAGAACCTCTGACCCCGTCGCCATAGTGTAGTGAAACATTGTAAAAACGTTCCTCCAAGATCATCTGGACCCTAAACCCTAGTACTCGGAATCATAAACGCCCTCATCTAAACCCTATATACCCTAAACTTTGGAGCATAAAACCCTAAACACCGGACTGCTCCTGCCCATCCGATTTGCCCGTGTGGATCCTAAACCCCTAAACCCCGAACCTACATACTGAACTTGGAACCCTAGCAAAAATGATGATGTTAGCTGTTTCTTGGGGGTTATAATAGCCAAACCTTAAAAACATATTTCTAAGTACCCCTAAGTAACCCCTAAACCAGCGACTGCTCCTCCAAAGCTCATCCGCCTTGCCGATGTGGTCGCCTGGCATCACTGGCTCTGTCGTCGCAGGATCGGCCTGGACCAAGGACTTTTTCTTCTGCCTGGGCTTTCAAGGAATCTATAGGGTTCTATAATCGGGCTCCTTGAAGGGATCCTTAAAGGTATCTGTAAGGGTTCCATGATGGAGGATCATGGGACTTAGCAAGTAAGGCTATTAGTATCTTTAATTGGGGTTATAAGTATAGCTACCCTAATTATAACCCTAGTTACTAAGTCCCATGATCCGTTAAGTATGGGATTCCCAATGAATTTATAGGGATTTATCAGGAATCCATCGTCATAGGGGATTTATAAAGGATCTATGGGGATTCATAAAGGATGTTTCAGGATTTATGAGAGGTCTTTCTAAGGGATCTGGACGGATTGATAAGGGATCTATAGCACCAGATTTCTTTTTTTTTTTGGGGGGGGGGGGAAGGGGGGGTGGGGGCTCAACACTCAAAGCTACATAACACTCTGCTAAATTCCATAAAACCCTTGTATATTAAACCTCATAGGTTTTAGGGCTTAGCAAGCCCTTGAGACGAGATGCATCTTGAGGGGAACCGGATTCTTGCTCATCAGCGTACCGCAAGCAGCCACCTTCGCGCCGTTGGGGTTCAACTTCCTGAAAACCGCACCCATCTCTTGGTCCAGGTAGCCTCGGTACAGCACTATTGTTATTATCAGTATTATTGTTATTGTTGCAATTGGCATTATGGGTATCACAATTACTATTATGTTAGTTTCATATTATTCTCATTATTACTATTGTTAGTAGTAATCTTATAACAACGAAAAGCTAAATTACTTGTCTGGTATCATAAGGGAACTAAATCTGAACCTTTGGGACAGTGGTTATAGTACCCCAAGCAAGTCAAAGGTTACCTACTCTACTACGCAGGTTAATAATGACAGTAATCGGTTGTTCAAGGCCTGCTTGCCGAGTTCTTGTTCTTTCTGCAATGGAGAGGTGTGATTAGAGCCTAAGGTTTCGGGTGAGTTCTATAACATACCCCAAACCCATGTTGAAGCCACCAAGGCCGCCATGCTGAATCCCATATACCGTATCAGACCGCTCAAGTTCGTATGCTGTCCTGTCTTTAGAGTATCAGCCGCTAAAATGAAACTGCCGTATACAGCAGGAAAGTGCTACAAACAGAGTGAGGGAGACCCGAAACGCAAAACCTTAAAACTCTAAACCACAACTATGGCAGGTGTTTTTCACACCCAAACCCTAAGTCATACCTTCTGGCAAGTGTCTGAGCCACTTCTTCACGTGAGTCTCTCTTGGCTGATTGTCGCCTTGAGCGCGTTCTCGCGACATGTCCGTCTCTTCCACAAGTGCCTATACTGAACTTAGAACTTAGAACCCCTGCAAAAAGTGTGAACTTAGCTGTTTCTTAGGGATTATGAACTTAGAACCCTAGCCAAAAAAATAATGTAGCTGTTTCTTACTTAGGGATATTGAGCTGTTTCTTAGGGATGATAGGAAGCAAGAAAATATTCCTAAGTAACCCTAAGGTGCGACGTAATCTGCGACCTTCAGCCCAGAGTCGTGCTCCACCTGTACGGTTTGGGGCTTTAGGCCTTAAGTAGGGGTTACTTGGAGGATCATGGGACTTAGAAAGTAAGGCTATAAGTACCTTAATTGGAGTTATAAGTATAGTTAGCCTCATTATAACCCTAGTGTCTAACTCCCATATGATCCTTTAAGTAAGTAGGGGTTAGGGGCTTGCGGCTCAGGGTTTGGGGATTAGAGCTTTAGGGCTTAAGTAGGGGATGAACACTAAACCTCGTTCTATGGGAGAGGCTTGAAATTTGGATCCCTGTTATAAGACGATCAACAAGGTACACCAGGCCCTCTTAAACACAGCAGTATGCCAACAAACACTTAAATGCTCGATTACAAGTTCAAAGTCCTGGCCAAAAGCCGGGTCTTAAGATTGCATACCTTCTACCGAGACCCTTCAATGAAACTCTAAACCCTAACACCCTCATGGATCCCTTGGAAGTAATTCGAGGAACCCTGAACCCTTAAGGGATCCCTCAAAGGGCTCCTTTAAAGGAATCCCTTTAAGGGCTCCTTAAAAGGGCTCCGTTTCAGGGCTCCTTTGAAAGAATCCCTCAAAGAAAGATCCTAAATCCCTCAAAGGGCTCCCTTAAAGGATCCCTTAAAGGGAGCAAAATACGAAAGCACCTGCTGGACTAACGCTTGGACTTCCTTCTCGAGCTCGACACTGCGGTTCCAAAGAGCCTAGGCTTCTGAGGAGCCCCTTTTTAGGGTTTAGGGCTTCTTTTGGGGTTTAGGGTTTAGTGTCCAGGGTTTGATAGGGTTAGGGCTTTTTTGGGGGTTTAGGGTTTAGTGTCTAGGGTTTGATAGGGTTTAGGGCTTTGTAGGGTTCAGGGTTTTATAGGGTTTAGGGTACTACTCGGTGTTTTGTCAGGGCATTCGGGTTTAGGGCTTATAGGGTTTAGGCTTTAGGCTTTCCAGGGTTTTTAGGGTTAAGAGGGCACTATTCGGCTTTGCTATATAAGGCATTAGGGTTTAGGGCTGGCACCCTTTTCTTCTACTACATAAAAAAAGGCAAAAAGGTGCGGCTCCGGTTCCAAAGAGCCAAGATCGCCTTCTGCTGAACGCTAATGTTGAGCATCAGGCTCCTTCTTTCTTTTGATTTAGGGTTTAGGCTTGAGCATCGGGATCCCTCTTCTTCTTTCTGGTTTAGTTTGTAAGGTTTCGGGTTGATTTCAGGAGTGCTGCGCTTGTCAGGGAGTTGGAGCATCAAGGTTCTGAGTTCCAGGGGGATGTGTGAGGTTGTTCAGGAGATAGTGGGGAGTGACATAGTCCAGCGCTCTTCTAGGGGTTTCAGTTGAACATCAGGCTCCTTTATGTTTTGGGTTCAGATTTCAGAGCCATACCCCCTTACAGGGTTTCTAAAAAGTTACCCACTCAACCCGTCTGCCAAGGCTCTTGTAGTTGTCAACAGAGATATCCGCGCCCGGGTTGCGTCCGTAGTAGTTGGTGTGCCATGCCTTGCTCCCAAGAGAATTAAAGTGCCAACCTATCAGAGCAATGCCAAAACCATACTTAAAGGATCATGGGACTTAGTAACAAGGGTTAAAATCAAGGTAACTATACTTATAACACAATTAAGGTACTTATGGCCTTACTTACTAAGTCCCACGATCCTCCAAATAATTAAGTGAGCCTCCGCCCTCAGCTTCTTTCCCTAAAGTCTACAACCCTAAAGCCACCAAGCCCTAATTCTAAACCCTGATCTCTGCACCCTCAGGAAACCAAACAAAAAAAATGCTCGGCAAGCGAAGCAATACCCTTGCAAGCCCTATGGTAAACGTTCTAGCCATTTCTTGACAGGACTTACGAAGTAGGGTTTAATGTATGGTACTTACGTGTTCCTGCAAAGATTCCTGTACAGGATTTAGGGTTTAGGGGCATGGGAAATAGTAAGTAGGCTCATAAGTAAGCCAAATGTAGTTCTCTGTACTTATCGCACCAAGTAGGGAATTCATAACACTACTCAGTAAGTCCCTGACCGTTGAAGTATGCTAAACCGACGCCCAGTAATGCCCTCATGCAGCCGTGAGGCCGTAAGGATTTCTTTCTAACCTAACCCCAGCGGAACCTCCGTTATCAACCCTAGACACCATAATAGTCAACACACCCAAACCCTAAAACACAGAACCCAAAACCCCCAACATCGAAAACCCAAACACTGTCCCTTGGGTTTTCTACTGATATAGTACAGTATACCACAATAACTCTAAATAGAAGCCCGTCAAGCTTGTAGAGGAAAGCGGCCATCAACTCTTCCTCTGAAGCGTCCAAGGAGAGCAGTGCAGCGTCGGGCTCCACGATGTCCTACTACGGAGGGCTCTGCAAAGAGTTGTTCTCTTAGGATATGTTTGGGGTTGGGGCTGTTAGGTTTCGAACTGATGGCTGTGAGGGTTGTGTGCTGTTTTGCGGGCTGGATTGGGTTGTACAGAAGTTGTGTAGGCTTTTGTGAGCTTCTAACAAGTCTGCAATATGCAGGGTGTCGTACTTGCATTCCTGACGGATCCCTACAGACTTCTAGGAGAGGGTTTTGGATTTTGTGTAGTAGAAGGGTGCTATCATAGGGTTCCTTTCCGGGTTCCTTCCAGGGTCTGTAAGGTTCTATCATGGGGCTCCCTTACAGCGACTTCGATGTCCTTTGAGCGGAGCTGAAGGGCGTTCACGGCACAGCCTTCAAGAGCACATTGGTCGTCCGCCGCAAGGGCCGTGGGAAGCTGCTCATCCACACTTGCCCCGTGAGCCAGGCACACGAGGAAGGCAAAGGCTGCGATCATGGCGACCTGAGAGCAGCCTTGTGTGCTCTGCAATCTAACACTTTTCGCAAGAGATTAGAGCTCGAGCCCTAAGGTGCGCGAGAAAACTCAAAGTTCAATGCCCGGAAATCCTGATGACGTAAATACCACACGGCTTCAGAGGGTCCTAAGTACTTGTATGGTATATGTAAGGCTTCTATACTAGGAGTTACTCATACTCTTATCCCCCATATCAGTACCCAGGACCCCTTAGTGGGGCCTTTAAGCTCGAAGTCCTAAGCCCCAAACGCCGGAAACTGCTTGAAGCCCGGCGGTGCCAATACCCATTTTTTCGAAAAACCCACCAGTTTCAATTCTACACGCTTTAGGGTTTAGGGTTAGGGGTTTAGGGTTTAGGGTACACCCTCCTATCCCGCTAAGAACCCTTCGTAAGACCCACCAGACCCGTTTGACCCTCAAAGTTAAGTGTCAAATCCGAGAAGCCTGCCCTAAACCCTAAACTAAACCGCAAGCCTGTTCCAAGCCCAGAACCCCGACAACTCCCTTATCCTGAAGCCGTCGTTTAGTGTAAGGTATCGTAGGGGCCTTCATAAATAGAAGCAGGCTTTACAGAGCTTAGCATAGGGCCGGCAATGATGGGAGCGGGGCGTGAACATAATCTAAAGTGTAACCATATTGGCACTGTTGTGGGGATACATTGATATGAACGATGTCGAACCGCTGTATTACTCCAACATGTACAGGCAACACATTTACATGTGATTCGGCTGTGGCCATGGATTGTCCCATGAATGCCAATACTAAACCTTAACCTTGGAACGCCGGGCCCCGCTCCAGAACTCCTAAACTAGATAAACTTCCCAAAGGGTCCAAGTATCATTATGGTATATACTTATAGGGTAGTTTGGGGCTCTACTTATATACCATAATGATACTTGGACCCTTTGGGCTTGAATATTCAAAGTAGGGTAACAAGGTTCCCGGATCTAGATCTCCCAAGGTTGCAGGCACAGCACCCTTTCATAGCCTACTTGCCTCTCCAATCCGATACAAAACGAGCGAGATGAGGGCCCTGATCCCAGTATTTCATTTCGCGACCCCTTGGTTCCTGAAACCCCCCAAAAACCTCAACCCTAAAGCCCTCAGGCTTTGTACTTGGTTTGTGCTGTCCGTACTTGTCCTCTATCCTTGCGGGTAAGGTAACTATACTTATAATCCAAATTAAGGTACTTATAACCTTACTTACTAAGTCCCATGATCCTCCAAGTGCTCTATGACACTTGAGGGTTCCAAGCCGCAGGCCGAGTCGTCGGCCGTGCTTTTGCAGCTGCTGGCTCGGAGCCTTACGGTTTCGGTTAACAGGGTTTCCTCCAAAGCACTCCTTAAAGGGATCCATAAAGGTTCTTATGTGTTGGTTTAAGGCTTTATCGCCATGGATTCCGGGTTCTAGTCTAGGGTTTCGAGGGCGTAGGGTTTATAGAGTTTAGGCGGGCTCCTGGGTGGGGAAGCTATACTTCTGGATTTTTTGATCAGAGGAAGGCTCCCAAGCCTAGGGCGTAAGCCTCCTGATAGTTAGGCTCAGGGGCCTTACTAAATAGAAGAGAGTGTGGGGCATACTATAACTATAATAAGGAGCCCCCAACATAGTATTGGTAATTATTCAGGCCTCTTGATTAGGTTTTGGGTGTTGGTTTTAAGGTTTATGAAGTTGAGGGTAGGGCTTCCTGCTTGAGCATCCGTGATCGAACTGGTTGAGCTCGTTCCGCACGCCTGTTGGTGGTCACCCTGCTTGGAGAAATTTACTAATACTTTCTTCGGGATGTAAAAACTTTCTACAGCGCTGGTTTAATGTACCGCTTTGTGCGGGAGTTCTGTAGTTGTGTTGGACAAGCTGACTAGTTAGCCTCTAGCTACAGTCACTGGGATTACATTGGGCAGCCAGCTAAAACCATGACTGACAACCCGACTTGTGGCCTCAACACTTTAAACCCTCGACCCGCTAAAGACTTCGTAACTTAGCCCTTCTAAATCCGGAGCCCGCCTAAGCCCTAAACCCTATATTGAAAGCTTCTAAATCCGAATACAGGGGCCTCAATAATTAGTATAGGGTTTTGCGGTATACCTTGAAGGAACCCTTAAGGATCCCTTTAAAGGCCCCCTATAGATCCCGTAAAGGAACCCCTTCAGGATCCCTTTAAAGGCCCCCTAACGCAAGTCCGCCAAGCCCCCTGGCGTATGTCCGCCAAGCCTTCTGGCTCCTCGTCCTCCTTCGAGGCCTGGCACAACCATGGGAGACATGAAAGCTTAGAGTGTAGGGGCTAGGGGTTTAGGGTTTAGGGGTTTAGGGTTTAGGGGTTTAGGGTTTAGAGGTTTAGGGCTTGGAGGTTGAGGGTTGAGGGTGTTTGGGGCTCAAGGTTTGGAGGTTTGGGGTTCAGAGTTTAGGGTTTAGGGTGTTTGGGGTTTGGATTACAGTGCAGGGAGGGAAGATCCAGTGAAGTTAGGGTCCTAAACTACTAAGTAACGGTATCAGGAATCCTAGCACCACTGATCCATGACCCATGCTCCTACTTTCTGGGGATCGCTGTACGTAGTCTCGATCTAGTTTCTGATGACCATGATGATTATATTCACGGCTATGGCAGAGCCTAGCTCGGGTGATTTCGAATATCGCGCAACTAGCTGGCTGTTGCTATCATCATTGGAAAGGCTCTATGGAAATACTACAGGATTCTCTTTGACTCCTTGAACTTGCTATCGAAGCTAGAACGACTGAAATCTCTAATTAGACTCTAGGCAACGCAATCGAGTCAGTCACATGGACAGCACCTAACGAAATCTGATCCAAGTATGAGCCATCACAAAGACAAAAGGTATCTTTTAGGTACGGCCCCCATACAGTAAGAGTCTATAATAGGGCTACTATTGAGGTCCTGCTATATCTATAAACTGAATATTTATTCAACTATTTCTGAGTGGGGGCCGTACCCAAGATATCTTCAAACCCTAACTCCGGAAGCATAAAACTCCGCAACTCACAACGCGAACCGACCCAATGATCCTACTAAGATCATCAACCCTGAGCAGTATCCATGAACTTCAAGCTCACCACCAAGCCCGGGACTCTGAACTTTGTGAACCATTAGCAGGCTGGACAGAGGTAGGTGACCCAAAACCCGAGCCCGAAACCTTGTGCAAAACCCCCGAATCAATCCAACTACTTCCCACCTGCCAGTTGGCTTCGTCACTAGTGGTCGCCGACACGGGACGGCACTTGGGACCTTGGCATTCAGTGACCCCGGCCTGGCTTGACATTATCAGTATCAAATATTATCCAGAACCTACAAACCATGCTTAGTCTGAGCTCTATGGCCGTTTGGGCTATGAACGGCGACATTTGAGGGATTCGGAACCGCAGGGCGTTTAGGGCGTCACAAGTGTTCAGGATTTCGGGCTCAAACGCCCTTGTTCCCACTCTCCTCTGCAGTATTCATGGATGTGGGGAAGTTGGGGTGTGGGAGATGCTGAAGCGGTAGCCCAAGGACGCTCGCAAAGGTGCGGTCTGCAGCCATTTTATTCCCTGGGTCAAAATCGCTTTGCTGAGCTTCAAAGACCCTCTCCACTCAGGGGCCCCTTGGGTTTTGGGGCCCATTGTTATACTACAACTATAGTCAGGAACCCCCTTGGGGCCCATACTGGCAATTTTCTATCAACTCGAAACATACCAGACTCGACTTTGAGCTCAGAAAATGAAACTTCCTATGTCCTCTCGCGTCTGAAGGTCATCACTGACAAGGTCTACAGCGGCTGAGCGAAGACCTAAGAAAACCAAGGTGGAACGACGGAAACACCACTCCCGGCATCAAACACCGAAACTAAGAGACCCTCCCCCGATTTCAAGATTTGCAAGGAGTTGTCGCTAAACCCTGAAAAGCCCAAAGCAGCTGCGCAACACACCGAACCTCAAACCCGAAAAGCTTGAAGGAACAAGCACTCTAAAAACGATCACCCAGATAGACATTACTTGCGCAAACTTCGTGAACCTGCCCTTGACGGCCTGGCGTAAAAAACAAAGGAAACCGCCAAAGCCGGATAGGTCAAAGCACCTCAAGAATCCTTGCGCAACCCATATTACTACTTGAAAGTTCCTGGGTAGTTCTAAGTGGGGCTATAAGCCCCCTAATTAATATCGGCTATAATTATGGTTACCTTACTTCTACCCCCACTTATAACTACCCATGAACCTCCACGTAGGAATCCTGAACGGCCCGAAACCCCAAAACGCTAAACCCGCGGAATCCCCAAATCACCGCACCGCAACAAGGTCCAGGCGGGGCTTCATCAAGGTAGTCTTCTCGGCCGGCATGGCCTTGGATGCCACCTGACCTGGCGAACTCTTGGGGGCAAGGGCTCAAGGGGTTTTGAGAGGGCTCTTTAGCTCAATGAGTTGTTGGTTTGTTGCGGTTTAGGGTTTGCTATACTGAACTTAGAACCCTGGCAAAAATTGTAATTTTAGCTGTTTCTTAGGGATTATAATAACCAAAATTAAAAAATATTTCCAAGTACGCCCAAGTTTTTTTTTAAAGCTCCTTTTTCCCAGTCGCCAATCCAGTACGCCCAAGTTTAGGGCCTAGGGGTTTGTTGCAAGGGTCCTTTTAGGCTTTCTCTGTCTTTTGCTCACTCTTTCCTCTCTGTCGTATCCAAGATTGGCGAGCCGCTAGACCACGGAGAGTCCCCAAAGACTCCAGTATCCCTTAATTAAGGAATATATATATATATATATATATACATATATATGTATGTATATACCTTACATTATGGTAGGATACCTAATATGATTTAAGGTATATTCCTTAATAAGGGATATCGGAGTCTCTGGGTCGGGGAGCTACTTTTAGCGTGTACGGCCTACGTTCAAGATTCAAGGGTTTAAGGTTCTGAGGGTTCCGGGCTTTGCTACGGGTTTTCAGTGCCAAACATGACTGGCCTGGGCTGAAGGAGCAGGGGTCCAAGTAACCTGGTAAATGGATGCATTTTGTAAGCATGGTCATCGAAGATGTGAGTCCTTTGGCAAACAAAGTACTGATCATCCTACTTTACGAAGTTCCCCGATCAAAACACCCTAAACCCTGAAACCCACAACCCAAATCAACAAATTTATGCCCTAAAGGCATAACTCTGCAGCAATCATGCTAGCTGAGAACGGCACGTCCGGTGTCAGGGCGCGGCTTAGGGCGTGCCTGCGATTAGGTTCGGGGCTCAGGGTCTCATGGGTTCAGGGTTTTGGGCTTTCGTTTGTTGTAAATAACCACTTTTCCAACCTGCCCGTCTGCGCTAGGGGTTCAGGCTTTAGGAACTAGGGGCTTGCTTCCAAACGTTTGGACAGAGTGCTTCTTGTTCCTACTGCCAATAACTGTGTTGTTGATTACTACTTTACTACTTTACTACTTTACTACTACTACTACTACTACTACTACTACTACTACTACTACTACTACTACTACTACTACTACTACTACTACACTAACTACTACACTACTACTACTACTACTACTACTACTACTACTACTACTACTACTACTACTACTACTACTACTACTACTACTACTACTACTACTACTACTACTACTACTACGACTACTACTACTACTACTACTACTACTACTACTACTACTACTACTACTACTACTACTACTATACTACTACTACTACTACTACTACTGCTACTGCTACTGCTACTGCTACTGCTACTGCTACTGCTGCTACTGCTACTGCTACTGCTACTGCTACTGCTACTGCTACTGCTACTGCTACTGCTACTGCTACTGCTACTGCTACTGCTACTGCTACTGCTACTGCTACTGCTACTGCTACTGCTACTGCTACTGCTACTGCCACTGCCACTGCCACTGCCACTGCCACTGCCACTGCCACTGCCACTGCCACTGCCACTGCCACTGCCACTGCCACTGCCGCTACTGCTGCCTCTACCACTTTGCCACTACGATGACGACTACGCCTATGGCTACGACGACTCAAACGACTACGAAGACTCCTACTCGTGCGGCTGCTGCTTTTGCAACTCCAACAGCTAATGCTATGTATATATGTTTGCCGGCAAGTGTTTTGTGCCAGGCCAAAGAACTTCAAAGTGTTGTGCTTCTTATACCCCCGTGTCACCGTTTTCAGGTGAGGAACAGCATTGCAGAAACCTTCTACATCATTGGTTGTCTCCACACAAAAGCAAACATCATGCTGAAATCTTAGACCGAGCATATTGCGTAATGCTTGAACTCAAACTCCCAAGATTTGAAATGACGCCTCTCAAAACTTGCAGCATTCGTAAATCTTGGCTCCATATATTGATCCCTGCCCTCGTAATTTCTTTTCCAGAGTCGGATGCCTTTTCTGCGGGCTTGGGAGGAGGCTCTGCCGGCTCCTTGGGCCGCCTCAGCCGGTGTTCTGGACGACGCCTTATGCCAACCTTTACAGTCCTCTTCAAAAAGGAACCCTGTTCTCATGTCCCTATACCAAATCCTTACTACTAGCCGTTGTAGTAACCCTTATAGTCTATATAGTCCGGGTTTCGACTCTTTCGCAGGTTTTCAAGTTCAACCATAAGTCTCGCTGCTGCCATGACATTTCTCCCACGATTCTACTAGTTCGTGCAACTACGTCTACTGCTACTGCTGCGGCTGATGCTGCTGCTGCGACTGCTACTGCCACTCCTGCTCCGGCTCCTGTTCCCACTCCTCCTGCACCTGCTGCTGCTCCTTCTTCTCGTTCTCCTCCTGCTCCTACAACTGCACTACTAGCGCAAACAGTTCTGACACTAGCATCAGTGCTAGGAGACGCGCTCATAATGGTGCTTAGCACCAACTAGCTAACTAGCTGAACAACAGACCGCGGAAATTCGCGAAGCTTAGGCTCACAAAAGTCAGGGTGGTTCTACCTAAACCAAGTGTACACCGGAAAGCACGCGCGACATGAAATGCCAATCGAATCCGAGACAGCTTTTTGCCCCCGAGACCTGAACGTTGAACCCCAAGAAAAGATGCCATAGCTCAACAAACCGAAAACGCTACATCTCAGCTCCGCCCTTAACCACGTCGAAAAGATATCCACAACCTCCATAATCTCAAAACATAAACTCCAGCAACATGCAATGAAACATGAGTAAATTCTCTAGCAAGCCCTACTTGTAAAAGCATAGACCCCAAATTCAACCAACCGTGAGTCCAAAACGAAGAAACCACAAAAAGCCCCCTTCTGTTCAATCAGCACAGTCATAAGCCCCTTCGGACACTAAAAGCCCCATGAAGTCCTCCTAATCCCGAAGCCCCAAGCCCAAACTAAAGCAAAACACCCCCAAATTCCCGAACCCCTGTACCTAAACCCTAACCCTAAAACCCCCAAACCCTAAACCCCCAAACCCTAAAACCTCCAAACCCTAAAGCCCTGAAGAAGCCCAGAAGAACCCCCCGGACGGGGCTGGCGCTGCTTTGGCAGTACCTTGGGCTTCGGCCGGAGCCTCGACCAAGGGGCCGCTCTAGAGCTTCATTTGTCACCCAAAGGCTCCATGTACCCATATAGTAGATACTTAGGCCTTAAAGTACCTATATAGGGACCCCTTTAAGGCCTAAGTACCTACTATAAAGGTACATGGAGCCTTTGGGTCTTAACAATAGGGTATATTATATTATACCTTAACCTACCAAACCCTACTTGTCTGTAGGGTCCCTATAAACTCCATATTAGGGTTTATAGATGTTTATAATAAGAACCTACAGAAAAGTAGGGTTTGGTAGGCAAAGGTAGTGAAGTATAACAGTATAGTATATATTGACTTAAAAAAAGTGTCTTATACTAAAAGTGGTTTTAGTTTTCTGTGTATGTACAAAGCTGTTGGCGTTGCGGTGCAATCAGTTTCACGCTTTTTGCTTTAGGGAGGTTTTTGCGTGGCCTTGCACGTCAGATATGAGGATGCCTAGGGCTTCATCAGTCGGGGTTTTGAATATCGGGGTTCGAAGATTTCTCAGGCTTAATTACGGCTATTATTGACTGGGAGTCGAAACAGAGGTCACCCAGGTGCTGGGAGCTTTGTTGGGTTTACGTTTTGCAGGATTCTGTGGGTTCTGCGGGGGTTTCGGAGCATGTCTATACTATAGTTACTATAGGCTTGTTGCTACAGGTTGTTACGGCGTCTGTCTGGGTGAAACGCAGCTTGTGAGGATTTTGAAAATTTTAGCATTCACGCTCGACGGCTCAAGTGTCCATTTCATGGCCTCCTCAAAGGGTGTTTGTGCAGTTTTATAGGCCTGTACCACGTCTTACTGCAAGTTAAAGTCTTCTAGACGGACTCAGAAGTAGCGACTATCCACAGCTTCCAGCATGTGTCTAAGGGTCGGGGGGCTGCATCCGGTGGAACAAGGGGGCAGTGGATCAAAACGAAATCAAGGAACCGCCTTCTCGAAAAACTCTGCATCCATCCCAAGTCTTCGGCAAAGGGTCATCAAGAAGGTTTGTTTCTGACCGTAAAGGGTGCGATTTCTGGCTTGGGCTGGCGATTGCGAGGCTTGTTTTGCACACAATCGAGACCCCACCCTCGAAGCCTCAAGCCTCCCTAAACCTCCCTAAATCCCTGGCCTAGATGGCCCTAGACCGTTCCTAAAGGATCGCGGGACTTAGTAACTCGGGTTTAATTAGGGTAACTATACGTATCACCCCAATTGAAGTACTTATAACCTTATTTACTAAGGCCCATGATCCTCCATTATAGAAACCTTATAGATCCCTTTAATTTAAGGATCCCTCAAACCGATTATAGAACCCTATGGTACCATTATTAGAGGAACTACTAATTAAGTCCTATAGAATCCCTATAGATCCTTTTAAAGGGACCCTTGAAGGAACCGTTATAACTTTACATACTAAGTCCAATGATCCTCCAAGTAAACTGCTCGTACCCGACACAACTTGGAGGGTCGGGGGACTTAGGCACTGGTTATTTTAGGGATTTACAAGTACCATAACCCCAATTAGGGTCCCTTTAAGGTACTTATAAGTCTACTTACTACCTACTTACTAAGTCCTCCCTAAAGGCCCTAAAGTAGTTCCTTTTTGGGGTTCATATTTAGAATCCTATTAGGTAATCCCAAAAAGGAACTACTATGGGGCCTCTGGGTAGCGGCCCCCGACACTCCAAGAAGCCACTCAGCGTCGGACTTCGGCTCTGGCGGCTTTTGCCTGCAAGTCTCGTAAAAGAAGGTTGGCCCATTAGGGTTGAGGGTGCCTTTAAAGGGTACTATAAGGGTTCCTTTAAAGGGTACTATAAGGATTCCTTTAAGGGATCTATAGGGTTTTAGGTTTTGGGGCTTAGGGTTTAGGGCTTAGCAGGGACGGGTTCGGTTTCGTAGCATGTCCAAGCCACAAAAGCCTGCAAGCCCCCCTACATGGGAGTGTTTCGCATCCTCATTCTAAGGGTCCGTACATGAGGGATTGCAAATCCTGATGAAGGGGCCATCAAGCGAGGTGGGCAGTTGTTGCCACGAGCTGGTGTCGCTAAACCCGAACAACAACCAAAATCTTAGGGACACGTCCTAAGACACCCGTGTTTCTATGGTAACCCCCGTTCTATGGTGACCCCCGTTATAGTAACCCTAAACCCGAAACCCTAACCCTGAAGCCGTAAAGCACTTCACAGCAACATCACCTGAGGAATGATACATAACGCCTGGGAGGGCCTTATAGCTCGACCGTCAGAAGACATCCAGATTTCGAGTTCAGGGTATGTTTGGTAAGGTTAGGAATGCCAGGACTCGCTGCAAGAAGTAACCGACGCGATAATAACCCAACAACATGAATGAACAAAGCCCCGTTTTTTTTGTATAGACATACTTATTCACTCATTTTGCATGCCATTGATTTCTTATGTCTATACACACACAGACGCACACACACACACACACATACACACACACACAAACACACATTCGTTCACACGTACTCGACGGCTATACTACTTCAGCGTCACTGCAATGATTGCAACTCGCGCAGCCAGCGCGCAGCTGTAGACCCCTGTCTCCCAAAGCATGAGCCCTCAAGCCTACGCCCATGGAGCACTTGCCCTAGCGACGTAATACGCTGAAGCCCATCCCTGTGCAGCCCTGAGGGATCCTGAAACACTCAATCCCCAAACCTCGAATCCTCAACCCCAAAGCCTAAACACCCACATCTGTGAGGGCACGTCCGCTGTACAACAGCTCCCGCTTCCCCTTGGGAAGGTGGCAGGCCGGCCATGGCAGCATTTCGAAATCAGAAATCTCAGCAGACTCCTTCAGATCTCACCATCTTACTGCTCTCCCCCTAGATAGACAGAAGGAGACACGCAATCGTTGCTCGATAATTCAGCACGATGGCGATTGGTCAGGACAAGACGCCAGGGTCCGGGTGGCCGGACGCTTCCGGTACACGGAGGCCTGGTAAAGAAAGGATGCCTCAAACGAAACAAATATCACCCTGTCATAAGCCTTCTTCAACAACCAGGTCCAGGTCATGTCTACTTGGAGGTTCATAGGTAGTTATAGCTGGGGTCATAAGTCCCCTAATATCGGTTGTAAGTATAGTTACCCTACTTATTATAATATAACCCAACTTACAACTGCCCGTGATCCTCCAAGTAGGCGGTAGCTTTCTCCAAGCAGGCACAAAACCTGAGGGCTGAACCTCACTGACGTCTTTCCGACCGAACCCTGAACCCCAACCCCTACACCAAATGGCTTTAAAGTACCCCTGTTACGATCTCTTTACTGGCACCGTTAACCCAGAGAATCCACAAAAAACAACGGGGCTTCGGAGATTGCCTCGCGCCCCAAGCTGACACCTTGAGCAGCTCCCCCACGGGCTTTTTTTCGGGGGGGTTAAGGGCCCTGGTTCTGTGTGTGTGTGTGTACATATATATATATATATGTATGTATATTCTAATAGTTATACAATCACATATATATATATATATACGTGTGTGTGCTTGCTAAAGTGTAAGCGTGACCAGAATAAACAACAACGGTGATTACAACTGATGATAGTGATCGAACAGCCAGAATTATCAGACTAGTACTGGAAGTTCAGAAGCATAACAAATATCTGGAAGCATCAACTACAACACTAACAATATTGACAATGCTAAGAATAAATAAAATAGTAGAAACACACACCATAATCGTAATAACAACAGCAGTAGTAGTAGTAGTAGTAGTAGTAGTAGTAGTAGTAGTAGTAGTAGTAGTAGTAGTAGTAGTAGTCGTAGTCGTAGTCGTAGTCGTAGTCGTAGAAGTAGTAGTAGTAGTAGTAGCAGCAGCAGCAGTAGTACTAGTACCAGCCCTAGTAATGGTAACAAGTCGTATTATTATAGTAATCAAAGTGATACTGACAGTGATACTAACAATGATAACACGGCGAAATACGATTGTAACAGTGATAACAACAATACTAATAGTAATCGTAATCGTCAGAGCAACGGTAATCGTAAAGGTGATTGCGTATTAGCAACATTCATGATAATTAACAGCAATAGCAGCAATAAGGCGTAGAACATTGATAATGACAATGATAAGGATGATGGTACTGACACAAGACCAACAATCAAACGAGTAATAACAATAACGCTAGTAATCGTGATCGTGCGTGTAAGGGCAACATTGGTTGGTATTGCAATCGTAGCCGTCACAGCAATAATAACATCTGTTAGTTGGGAGTTTCCGAAAATTGGGAAGCCTGATATAATACCCTGAATGTAGGATCCTTTTATAAGGACCCCAAACTAATTTTCGGAAACTCTCAGTTTGATACGGACGGAGGGATGGGGTCTGGGCTTTTGCCTGATCGGAGTTTAGGCGCTTGTGGGGATGAGGGTACTTCTTCTCCTGTCTGGTCCTTAGTAGGGAACGGGGGAATGGATTATGGAGACTATTACTGGGGATGATATAAGGACTACTATAGGGATCCATTCCCCCATTCCCTACTAAGAACCAGACAGTCTTGCATAGGTTTAGGCACTGTAGGGGCTGAGGGTTGGATGGGTTTGAGTTCATGGCTCATGGCCCGTAAGGTTCTTGGGACTTCAGATTGAGACTTGGGTCAGGGGTGTTGTTCGACGGAGTCTTGTTGGAATTATGTGCTTTGCACGGGGCCGCGAAACTGGTGAGCATAAAGGGGAGATACTGCTGATGATATAAATCCTGCATGACCCATAATAGGGAATATACCATAATTCCCATAGTTTAGGGTTCTTAAGGTAATGCAGGATTTATATCATCAACCGTAGGAGCCCAGCAGGAGGTTGTTACTGTTTTGGGGGGGGCGTCAGGGTTTAGGAATCTTGTGTTGAAGGTTCTCACCGTACAAGCAGAATATCCGCAAACTTTGGCAACCCTGATGAGAATTGAGCCCTAAACCCTTAATACAAAAAGACGTATCCCGAAGATGAGCTGAGCGCCTGACCTTCGGAACAGGTTTTGGTGCTGGTTGGGCCTCCTCCTGGAGGTGACAGCCGCAAGAGGGTTTGGGGTTGAGGGTTTAGGGTTTTTGCAAGGAGTTTGTACCACAAGGCCCATAAACATGATATTTCAAACAACCTACTGGCCACACCTTACTTGAAGCATGGAGCACAGTTCGTAAGGAACACCCACTATAAGAAGTCTTTGAAGGAGTCTTGGCATGGTTCTACAAGGAGGGTCGGCGTCGGGTTTACTTCGCTCAGGCTTTGGGCGCAAGGATAGAAGGAGCCTGCCAACAGGCCTGCCAGATATCTCTACATGGTCATCTTCTAGGAGTCTAAAGCCTCTTGAACTCGACAACAAAACCCTCCACCCTAAAACCTAAAACCCCGAGATCTACACGCTAACACCCTCATAGAACCCTTAAGACAAACTGTCTAGACACCCCCGGTTTAGGGTTTCGGGGTTCCCTCCTCCCCTCCCCTAAACCCACCCCTGCCCCTCTGCCACACGACTTGGTTCTTGCTCACAAAATTATCTTAAGTTACCGCAATAAGGAAACCATATGATTTAGTATAGATCCAGGTTGGGCTAATTTAAACCTTAAAGCCTAAACCCCTACGGCACGGGACCCCTTATAGATCCCTCAAAGGAACCCTCATAGATCCCTTAAAGGATCCTTTACAGATCCCAAAAGAAAGTCATATAGGCGCCTAAATAATTACCTACACTATTTTGGGGGTCCCTTCTTATAATCATAGTATATATGGCCCCAAAACCCTATTCTAAATATTCAGGCCCCTACCCAGAGAGCCCAATATCCCTGAATTAAGCAATATACCTCAAATTAAATGGGGCTTCATAGTGTGATTTAAGCCATGTTCCTTAATCAAGGTGAATTGGGACCCTAGTCTAAATATTCAGGCCCGTATACTAGACCCTTAAAGTAATTAGCCCTTATAGAAACCCTTGTAGACCCCTTTCAGGGAACCCTTTCAGGGAACCCTATTCTAGTTAGTAAGGCCCCTATAGTAGCCAGCCCCGGGCCTCTTCGCCGTCGTCTACTTCGACGTGCACATCCACCATCTCCTCGTCTCCTGATCCCAGTCTCAGAAGTTCCTCTAGGGGTTCCCTTTAAGGGTTCTTATAAGGAGTTTAAGCAGTTTAGGGTTATCCTCTGGGGGTTCCCTTTAAGGGTTCTTATAAGGAGTTTAGGCAGTTTAGGGTTATGCTCTGGGGGTTCCCTTTAAGGGTTCTTATAAGGAGTTTAGGCAGTTTAGGGTCATCCTCTGGGGGTTCCCTTTAAGGGTTCTTATAAGGAGTTTAGGCAGTTTAGGGTTATCCTCTGGGGGTTCCCTTTAAGGGTTCTTATAAGGAGTTTAGGCAGTTTAGGGTTATCCTCTGGGGGTTCCCCGTTTTTATAAGGAGTTTAGGCAGTTTAGGGTTATCCTCTGGGGGTTCCCTTTAAGGGTTCTTATAAGGAGTTTAAGCAGTTTAGGGTTATCCTCTGGGGGTTCCCTTTAAGGGTTCTTATAAGGAGTTTAGGCAGTTTAGGGTTATCCTCTGGGGGTTCCCTTTAAGGGTTCTTATAAGGGGTTTAAGCGGTTTAGGGTTATCCTTTACAATTTCTTTAAGGGTTCTTATACGGGGTTTAGGCGGTTTAGGGTTATCCTTTACAATTTCTTTAAGGGTTCTTATACGGGGTTTAGGCGGTTTAGGGTTATCCTTTACAATTTCTTTAAGGGTTCTGATAAGGGGTTTAGGCGGTTTAGGGTTATCCTTCAGGGGTTCCCTTCAAGGGTTCTTAAGAGGGGTTTAGGCAGTTTAGGGTTACCCTCTGGGGCTTCCCTTTAAGGGTTCTTATAAGGGGTTTAGGCGGTTTAGGGTTATCCTTTCAATTTCTTTAAGGGTTCTTATACGGGGTTTAGGCGGTTTAAGGTCATCCTTTACAATATCTTTAAGGGTTCTGATAAGGGGTTTAGGCGGTTTAGGGTTATCCTTTAGGGGTTCCCTTCAAGGGTTCTTAAGAGGGGTTTAGGCAGTTTAGGGTTATCCTCTGGGGGTTCCCTTTAAGGGTTCTTATAAGGGGTTTAGGCGGTTTAGGGTTATCCTTTACAATTTTCTTTAAGGATTCTGATATGGGGTTTAGGCGGTTTAGGGTTATCCTTTAGGGGTTCCCTTAATTAAGGGTTCTTATAAGAGGTTTAGGGTTATCCTTTAGGGGTTCCGCTTACAAGGCTATAGTGGTTTAGGGCCGTTTTGTGTGAGCTACATTTCTTCAGCGTCAGCGCCAGTGCTTTGCCAGGTAGGGTTTGGGGGTTTGAGCCGTAAGGGTTTTACGGGGGTATAAACCCTAGTCAAATCAACATGCCAGCACGGACCACAACGGTGAAGGGTCCCAGAAAGGTCAAGGGGAAGGGCGTGTCAAGGCTGCATCCCGAGACTGACTGAGCCTAAGCTTTGGATTGACTAAACATCGGTTTCCATGACACCCGGTCGGCACAGGACTGTGACGTAAAAACCGACTTCAGTCGAACATGTGCACAGCAACTTAGCCCATTACTTCCAGCTTCAGCATCGCAAAGTGCTACCGTGCTACGCTGTGCAGGGCAAAAAACCCTATAACAAGCCGGTATTCTGACGCCAATGCACGTTGACAAGTAAGCTCTGGAATGTGGGAATAGGAAGCCTGTAGCTTAATTAAACTACAGTGGTAGCCGGACAGACAAACATCATTCTGACATAGATGGTTGAACTGCTTCGTAGTCAGGCTAAGACGATCAACTGACGATGGTGCACAGGTTGTACGTGTATGTGCGAGTGTATCAAAAAACATGCAAGTGGATCGATAACTTGTGGACAGACGGGCATATCAGGATAGATATAACAAATGTATACTCTGCACAGATACTACCAAGATAGACCAACGCATTGCAACACAGACGCAAATTATGCTCTTGAGATAATACTAACCCGCAGAGGCAGTCCGCATCAGTCCAGCTACCTCTGTACCTAACAATCTTAACAAGACGAGGAAAGAGCAGAATGTCCCTGCAGCTGCTGCAAAGATAGCGCGGTAATAGGGCACTGGATTTGGGATTTCTGATTCTGACAACATAGTACAGCAAAACTAGCACGCCGAGGCATAATACAGACCGAGTGCAAATGCACTACCAGTATTGATGTTTGAATATGCAGTCGGCGTTTCCTTGTTCATCAACCATGTGAGGGCCCCTTATGCCTGCAAGCTCTCACACAGATAACACGAAGATATGCTTTTGCGGTGTGGTAAGCGCCACAACTGGCTCTCCTCACCTCGGCATGCATCACCCACCCCCGCATCGGAAGGAAGCACAGAAAGGACACTCCAACATCCAAGTATAATTCTGTTCTTCAGACTCCTGAAAACTCCACTTGCCCTGGCTCTGGGCTCTGGAATCTTAACAAACACACACAAAGAATGCTTACAAGGCTTACAAACGGATTGCATATACACACGTGGAGAGTCATATCATGCATGTGTGTGTGTACGTACCTTACATATATATATATATATATATATATGTATGTATGTATAAATATATATATATATATATATATATATATATATATATATATATATATATATATATGTATATATATATATATATATATATATATGCGTGTGTAGACAAGCACGTACATACCAGTACATGACGTTACCAATGACGTTAGCCACTCATGTAGTTCAGCATAAGTTTGCATATGCCCCTGTAATTATGAGCCCTTAACCCAATGCCTCAAGCTTAAGGAGCCAAAGACATGCTCTCTTGCCCCGCCTTCACCAGCTGATACACCGCCGGTGCCTGTGAAGCCACCGCCGGTGCTGAGCACGCCACTCTTCTGAAAGACGGAGACCGAGCCTGAGGGTGTGGGGTTTAATGTAGGGAATAGAGTTTCCTTTAAAGGGTTCCTTAAAAGGGGTCTATAAGGGATCTGTAGTAGGGCTCCATAATATGAGGGCCTTAATAGTAGTGTGTAGGATTTTTATGGCGTTGATGTGGTTTTCTATGGTGCTTCGTAAGAGTTCCAAACAATGTTGGAAGGGTTTTAAACGTCACTGGGGTGTTGGGTTCGGAAGGAATGGGGTTTTAGAGTCTAGGTTTAGGTGTGGGAAGTGGCACCCAGAAACCATGTAGTTGAAGTATGCATGGGTTTGACAAAGGTTCTAAATGATATTTTGCATGGAGTTCGAAGGGGCCGTATAGGGCTGTTTAGAGCGACGGCAAATTTTTCAAGGGCATAACACCCTAAACTGCCTTAGGGCTGCTTCGTCTTAACAAGACCGAACATTTCCTAATCAGGGGATTGAGAATTTGCGGGTGCCTTCTACGTGATCGTGCAATTGAGCAGTAAACTTCAATAACTGCTCTGAATCACTGAATACCGCTGGCAGCTGCCACTACTTAGACTTCGACAGGACCCGTCAAGGTATAAACGGAACTACAGAGAGCTTGCCAGTCAAGCAAGGAGCCTACAGAACATATGGGTAAGTATATAGAGTAGCACACAGTAGGCATTCTATGACTAAAACCCTTTCCTGGTCTGCCTCAATCGCGGTACGAACCCCACAACAACCAACTCTGTCCCACCAGCCTCAATCTACAGGGCTGCATTTAGGCGGCATGGCTTGGTACCCGCGGCTCTCAAAAACAACAACTCGTGCATCCGAGACGCAGCGTACAGAATTTACAGAGTCTTCTTTTTCCGGAAGCCTTGTCTCAAAAAACTAAACTTACTTGGGGGACAAGTATGTCGAAGACCCGATCCTGCAAAGAGATGCCGAAACAGCCAAGTGGCGGCTGATCGGAATCCTGCAAGGCACCAGGAGAGCGTATTTCGGGGTTGAATGGGGTCGAATGTGATCTTGTAAGGGTTGTGGGGCAGGGCTTAGTGGTTTTGGATTAAGGCTGTTAGCACATTGTTGCTCTTGTTATTCTTCACCGCGCCGGCAGAGCAACACGCCTAAACCCAAATCCTGAATGGTCAAAGTGCCGTGCTTTAAAGAAGGAGTCTGCGACGCCTGCATTCCGTTCGTAGGGTTGGGTTTGATGATGCTTGTATAAGGATTAGCATAGAATTTGAGTCATTAGAGGATTCCATTTTGGGGTTTCGTGCTTGATTGGAGGATCCAGAACCTTGTGCTTTAGAGTTGAGGGTGTACTCAGTGCGTAGTGCTTATTGTTAGAGGTACCTTGTTTGGGTAATGCGCAGGTTAAAAGCAAGTATAGCGACAGCTGCCTTACTACTATAGGAGAATGATTAGAATAGGGTTTTGGGGCCCATAATACTATAATTATCACAAGGAACCCCAAATAGTACTGGTAATTATTTAGGCCCCTACGCTAGACCCCAAACCATGGCTGCAACCGAGTTTCTCATCTTTCTCCTGCTTGGCGTCCCATCTCCAGTTCTCCCAGTCGTGCCACTTACCTGGCGATCTGGGTTCAGGGCTTCAGGAGTTTTAGGTTTCAGGCTCTGGGTTTGAGAACTTTGGGTTTTTTTTTTGGGGGGGTTGGGGTTCAGGGTTTTACGTCTCGGGGTTGAGGATTTTCGGTTGTGGATGCTGGGTTTGGGTTTCGGAGGCTTTAGGTTTAGGGCTTCTTTCCGCTGCTTCAGTCTTTTAGGTTTATCCCTGGGGGTGCCGTGAGCCTGGCTTTCGTGGAAAAACGGGCAAGGCGTGCTGCAACACGCACGTGTGGAAAAGGAGGCTGAAACGGTTCAACCCTCAGAGCAACGAGCATGTCACGAAGGTAGGAAGAACACGCATGGACTTCCGAGGTACTCAAAACACAGGTCCTGACCCTGACACAGGAAGTAAAAGCCTCCGACTACTCTTCCTAGTCCTCCTAGTCTTCCTAGTCTTCCTACTCTTACTACTCTTGCTACTCTTACTACTCTTACTTCTGCTCTTACTACTTTTACTACTACTACTACTACTACTACTACTACTACTACTACTACTACTACTACTACTACTACTACTACTGCTACTACTACTGCTACTACTACTACTACTACTACTACTACTACTACTACTACTACTA